ATACATTAAAAATACATTTACTTACAGTAAATATGCCCCTGGGTGCGTTTTTTTTTTTTGGTCCTAGGACTGTTTTTTTAAGAAGTACATACCCAAAGTTGAGTAAAAAAAACTTTAAAAAGTGAATTTTGCATAATAGGTCCCCTTTTTAAAAAAAGTTTTCATCTCTCCTACAAGAAAGTTCTTCAGCTTTATCAGCACCTTGGTGCCTTCACATGGTTGACAAACAAGTTTGACAGATCAAAACTGGTGATGACATGCAAAAGTGGACCATTAGTCGATCGTTAGTGCCCTGATTATCACCTATTGTTACAATAACACTATTGTAATTAGGGAGACACATTGACATGGAGACCCCAGTGCTAAACAGCAGACAGCTTATCTTCACAAATACAGCTTTCTTTATTTCTCTGTCATCACTGCTGCTCTGGTTCCGCATCGTATTCCCGGAACTGGTAAACGGCAGTGACCTCATTTCCCAACAAACCATATGAAACTGCATTCCAGTTAGCCGACAGGTAATTGTATTGCTGCCACTAACCTAACTACAACTCTGCTACAATGTAAACAATGACAAAAAGAGAGCTCTACTATGTATGTCATGCAAATAAACATTGATTTTAATACGTACAGTATTGCACAGAAAACACACTACCTGTGCGAATGATTAAACATGCACAAACAATTAAGCAAAATAATTAATAGTTAAAGTTACAGAGTTAACTTTCTAAAGCTGATAGTAGCCGCCATCTTGTAATCAAAACTGGGGGCAGTTTCATTTCTTCCGCTATACCAGTGGAATTTTACTACTGGAGGAGGCATTCCAGTTTAAATCTACCAATGGGAACTGGGAAATTACCACTTCCCAGGACTACTGGAACGCAGCATCATCTCCCCCCTTACGTAGCTAGCCGGAGACTAGCAGGAAACTACAGCAAAGCATCGATTACGCTGGTATTGATTCGATACCAAGTACCATCTTGGTATCGATAGTATCGAGTACTTAAATTGATACGCCCACCCCTAATATCCTCTGCCTGCGTACAGTTAGCTGTGCTTTAATGAGAGGAGTCTCCTTTGTGTTTGAGCTGCTCACTGGGATGAAGATGGTCACTGCATCCTGTAGTTTAAGCAGTGGCTCCTCCCCTCTTCAGTTTTGAGCTGTAGTGGTGCAGTCTGTTTGGTCAGCTGGTTCTTTATGAAAAGATGAAACTTCTTATCTCTCTCTATTGAGTATGCCCTCTGGATGAGTTCTTTGTTGACAAAATGTCACTCTTTCAGGGATGATCTTCTCAGGAATGTTGGTTTGAGAGAGGAGTAAAGTTTTTTTTTTTTTGCTTGCAATGTTGGATGAAGCAAGAGACAGAAGTGGAGTAACAAATAAAAATCTGGTGGTAAAATTTTTTTGTTTAAAGCGGTTGTGTTGTTAGGCTTTCATCACTTGTATAGATATGTTGTCAGAAATCATCATAAATAAGCTCGTATGGACTTCATGTATTACCTCTAAGCCTATTTGTTAACTTATAATAATATATTAATATATGCAGTGCCATTGCAGATGGGGCGTGGCTTGACTGAATGGAGGGGAGGTGGAGGGGGGGATGCTCAGACCTTGTTAGCGTGGACAGGTTTTTGATGGAGTTTTATTCTTAATCAACAAACCTTTATTTTTTTCCTCTCAGGCTGTTCATGTTTAAAACCCACTTTGCACAGAAATACTTTTTTTAAGTTTTATTGAAGCAATGTTGAATGTTTTCACAAAGTTAAACATTAAAATAATTACTGTTAAGATGTTTTTAAGAGGTTGTAATTTCTTGCAATCTATTTCTTTTTTCAGTTTTCATTATTTCAAACATTAAAGAACATTTTGTGGTGAGAAATAAATTGAAATGAGTTTAAAAACAAAATATCTGTGTATGTGGTTGGAGAGAGTGTGTGTGTGTGTGTGTGTGTGTGTGTGTGTGTGTGTGGTTGTGGTGGTGGGGCATGAAATTATTTTTATAAACCAAAGGGGGGGCCCATCAGAAAAGGTTTGGGAACCACTGCATTAATGATTTTAATCACTGGATAAACATTTATAACGAAGTAACTTTGGAGTCAAAGATGGCTGCCACGGCTAACAAAAGGCTGGGTCGTGTACAGAAAACTTCCAAGGCATTTTACTCATAACTGAGCTCTAAAAGGATGTTTTTTGCATTTCTGATAGGGCAGTGTGGTATATGTGTTAGATGGTAGAAATGATATGAAGTTGGTCTATGGTAGAAATTGACCCTTTACCATCCTGTCGTCTGTTACATCATCACAACAGGGCTGTGAGTGCAGAGACAACTGAGCAGGAGGAGTTCCAAATATTCTGAAAATAAATGAAGAAATATAGTTTTAAAACACGTAAAGAGAGCATAAATCTTCAAAACTTTCCCCTCCTGCTGTAGAAAAGTTACGTTGTGTCACAGGATTATTTCCTCCCTCCCGCTGCACGTCACACAGAGCGAAGCTTTAACAACCGTAGTTTTTTCAAACCCAAATTGTCGGAGAGAAAAAACTTGTTTTTATGTATCGTTACCAACAGAGATGATAAAAAAGATGGATGTTCATTCAGTCATAAATCCATCTTGTTAAAGTAACAGTTCTGCTCTGATGATGAAGAGTGCACAGCAGAGCAGCAGCTGATAATTTCAGCAAGCAGAAGCTCATTTATGGCAGGCAGATGTTACATTTATTTGGCTTCTCCACACTTATATTCTACAGGGTTAAAGGCCAAAAATTACACTTGTCCTTGAAAGTCCTTGAATGTTTTTTGGAGATTGAAGTTCTTTTATTCACATGACTGACTTTCATCATCTTTTAAAAAAATTAATTATAAAATTTTAATAAAAACTTACATTTGATGCGGTGGATAACTCTGGATTATGGTAAACTGACGTCATTGTTTCTGAGTCAACAACTTCTATGTTGTTCAGTTTTTTTTATTGAATTTAGATATACTTGTTTATTGGTAACATTCTGCAGTAACAATAGGTAATTGCCATTGTGCATGGTTCTTTAATTTGAGGAAATTGGTACTGGAAAGTTCTTGAAAGGTCCTTGAATTTGATGTTGAACAAGGTGTGGGAACCCTGCTTCCAGTTGTCTGAAATAGTTTTATGACAGGACTATGTGCAGCTTAAGCCCCATCAGTTCCTGTCACACTATAAATGACTAATTTTACTTGAAGTACTGGTTATAACATCCACTTTATTTTGATATTGTTGAAAATTTGAGAAATGTTTTTGTTTGTTGAAACCGTTTTGCAATATATATAAAACACTCTTCTGTACTTCTGTTATGTTCAGTTACACTACAGCAAAAATACTAGCTTTGTTTATTAGTTTACTGCTAAATAAATGCTCTAAACCAGTGGTTCCCAAACTTTTTGTCTTCTGACCCACAAAATATTCAAGGCAAAAACTTGTGACCCCAAATATTACTGGTCTGAGGACACGAATTTCGTTGATAACCCTAAAAACACAGGCTTTTTGACAATCTAAGCAGCTTATACACAAATTAATAATTATAGGGAAAATATTACATCAGCAATTATTTTATTACCCTTTAAATTTATTTCTGGAGATTGTCCAAGGTGCTTCATGACCCATAATTGGGTCCCAAGCCCAACTTTGGGAACCAAAGTGCAGTGGTTCACAAACTTTTCAGCTTTTGACCTGTAAGAAAATTCGTAATCGATAAACTGAAGTCGATATTAAAAACACCATTATTAAATAAAATGATTTGTAGAAGGAATCAAACCATACAACACCAGAACTCTAGATCTGTGTGAGGTTTACTGTCACTCAAGCTGACAGAAAACCAACACTACCGGAAAACCAGGAAGTTCATGTATTTATACACCACCTTCAGTGCCTGTGTTCGCCCCCTACTGACCTACGGCTGAATCACAGGCATTCAGACAAAATCCTCAGCTACTGTTATAACGTTTAATTATGTGTTGTCACAGATATTGCGGACATGTAACTAATCTATTATCAATCAAAACATAATAGATTAAACACTGTCAACAATACAAAAAGGAAAACCTAAGAATGTAGTGTTGTGCTTTTAACATCAGTACTAACCTCTAATAACTTTAAATTTCTTCAGACCCACAAAATAACAGTAGCAGAGACCTGAGCCCCCAACTATTTTTGGATGATAAACATTTGTATCAGGTCAACTAAACATGGGCATAGTAACAATATTTTTATTCTACATTTATCAATTTTAAACATACTAACCTCACTCATTTGTAACAACTAAGACAAAAATGTAATTAATTCAGAAAATCTTTTCAGGACCCCACCTTGATGTTTCAGGACCCCACTTTGGGTCCCAACCCCAACTTTGGGAACCACTGCTCTAAATATTACATTATCTTTGCTTTTCATAATTTTCTACCACGATATATACAGTTACCATGAAGGGATTGAATTTATAACATGATTAGGCCTGTCACGATAACAAATTTTGCTGGGCGATTAATTGTCTCAAAATTTATTGCGATAAACGATAATATTGTCTGGTGACCGTTTTACAACTAATAATTATAAAAGCGTAATGTGTAAGTGTAATAAATCAATAAACT